TCTTAGAGACTTTTCATCTTATGTCAAGTTAAGAGAAAAATTACATCCTTTAGTCTGTCGGTCATAAATAATACAGGATATGGTGCAAACGTGCATAGGCCCAAGTTGTTTTACTACATTAATATATTAAATGAAGATTAACAGGATATGCAGCACATAATAAGGGGCAATGAATATATACTTCAAAAAGAAAGAGTAAAATAGGGAAATTTAGAAGTACAAAACACTACTAGGAAAAAATATAAAGGACGAATTCATAGAAAAATTTGAAAAAAATAGTGTGACATTCAATATCTGAAACCACTAAGGTTAGAAACAATAGAGATAAAGTTTTGACAGTGAATTTTTTTCTTTATAAAAGTCACTAGTACAAAAGCCATCTGCAAATTGACAAGCACCTTCATAAAACTCTAGATAATAGATTCCTCATTGCTTTATTTATGTAGTAAAAGGGATCGTTGTTTAGAAATCAGTATTATGGAAATGGTTTGTTCAGATTATTAAATAATTTATTTTTCAAAAGATATCAATTAACTAGAAACAGTTTCGACTTCATATATTCACATAATTAACGACCAAAGGAATTCATACCACTTATTCAGCAGAGATCTAAATTGTTTATCCGAAAGATCACAAATAAGCTGCCAACTTGAGCTACCATAATGTATATAATTCAATTCACTTATTTTTGTAGAGGAGTTTATATTGGTTGCACAAAGTGTAAAGCTTTCGAATAGATTTCTGAGCTCCACCCTCCTTAGCTAAGTTGAACAAAAATCGGTCAATAGCTCAATCCTTGAACATTTGGTTACCTCTAGTAGCATATCTCTACCTTTATATTTTAATATAGGCTACGATATGTCAAAGTCAACTACAAATACTATTATTTACGTTCAGTAAATAACTTCATCGAGCAAAAATTCTATTCTCTGAACAGTCTCTCGTTTGTTTAATTCGCTTAGCTGTTATAATTTTAAGATTTATCAGGCAACATTCTGTTCATTTTTAAAGAATCAATAAAACTTTGGCTTTTCAGTGCTATACGTAAAGTCCAGTAAATTACTATAGGATCCTGTCCTCTTCCATATTAATACTAGTCATAACTATTGTGAAATTATTGATTATATTATTGAACGAGGTGGTGACTATATCTAGTGGTTCTGTTATTATTCAAAACCATGTTGAAGTTGCTAATAAACTGTTAACAAATTTCATGGTAAACCTCGCCAGAAAAGCTTTGAACTATTGATAGACTAAAGCAGTTATATGATACATGGTATTTATTTAAAATTTATCGTTTATGAGTCACGGTTTTGTGCTGACAAGTGCTCACTAAAAAATATCGGAAACATTTGAGGGACTGATAACAGCCGTTGGTTCAAAACTTCACTACTTGGTGTTGCAATTAGAAATCAGCTATTCTCTGAGATTCAGATATTCACCCAAATTAATTATTGTATAGTAGACAACTTCATATTGTCTAATCTTACGTGTTGGTCCACTTTCAGTGATGAAGTTTGTAGTGTGATGGATAGGTTAAATGATTTGATCTGCTGTTATATTTAGTTTAGAGAGGTGAACGCCTTCAAGATGGTTATTGAGTCTCAGATGTGACAAAACTTAGGTCTACGACTTCCTTCTGACTGCTCTCAACCACAAAACGTCAAAAAAGCGTACCTAAATGTCTAGTCACTTTGTCTGCTGACCGAAATTTAAACTTGATCTGTGAGAGTTCAGTGGTAGGCAGTACAGATTTGGTAAATTCAAAATCATCACTAAATGTCGTGTTGTCTAGATTCAAGAGTGATACAGGGAAAGTATGAAGATTTTTAGTTAAACAATCATTATGTAGTTACAAACAATCAATTAATCAATGTCAGTTAACAGTTTTATAAAATATATCTATTCATAACGTTTTTTTTTTCTGAAAAATAATTTACAGAAGTTACTCAGAAAGTTGCAAATATCACTGATGACATTACCGAATGTGAAGTTGAATAATATCCACTCGAGTTTTTAAACTATTTGTAAACTTTTGTGAGGTTACAGATAAACCTTGATGATTACAAACTAACTTAGAATTTAGGTTAATTGGCATTCACCATTAAATACATTCACTGCCTGCCCCAAAACAATACACGTAAAAGAATGCTTTGTTATATATGTAATAATATAATCTATAAATAGTAGGTTATTTACATTTGTTTAGTTAATTGCCTAGGTTTTTAAGATAAAATCACATCTATCTAGTTGCCTTGCTGCATAATTATTTCTTCACAAATGCTTGCAAGTATGGATATACTCATTCCTTCTGATAAGGTAATAATGTTACAAGCCTCTAATTTATTTTTTTCTAAAATCCGAAACACAACCTTCCCATAATTATTGCTTATTCTGATGGAAATCAGATAACTATCCATAATTCCCTGCTATTCCCTACTCTGATAATACACACATATATATGTGTATATGTAAGCGTGTTGGGAAATAATGCATACCACCGGTTATTAAATGAACAGTATTGATTTAAGCACAGTTTAAAATGTAACACTATTTGCAACATATGGTAAATAGTAGTTATTTTATTTGCGTTCGTTCATTAATAACTAACTGATTCGTTACGAATAAAACATGGCAGTGTTGTCGACTATGATAACGGTGTTGGTAAAAAAAATAATTATTCTATTCCTTTGAAAATTAAAACAAATTGTAATTTGTATGAATATTAAATAGTTACATTTCTGTCTATTCGATATATATATACTTATAGTCGTTAATATAATAATTTGTAGAATAAAATAATGCATGATATACAAGACATAGGCCATTGAAAGTTCGAACAAACTAATCCAAGTTATGTACCGAATTGTTTTACCCTAATTAGATATTAGATATTATTGATTTACTGGAAGTATAATTGACTAGTGTTATAGACATCAGTCAATTACCTTTCCTTCTTTAAGTACTGATGAATCATTATAATTCATCGTCTTTCTTAGATTTCGGTGTTCACAGAAATATATGTAACATACTTCAGGGCACAATTTAGATTTATGAGATTTTGAATAGTTATTGACCGTCATCATTTTTAATAATATCATTTATTAAGATCTAAATTATTAAATTTCCAAAAATTAGTTACTGTTGTCTATAAGTTTAATGATGAGGGTTTATTTACAATGTTGTTTCGTAACACTGTGAAGTATATATTGACTAAATACTTTGTATTAACAAATGTTGACTCATTCTTGATACTGGTCGAATTCTGTTTAGTTGGTCCCCAAATAACGTGTTAGTAACGACCCTAGTTACAACATTTTGTCATACAGTTTCAAATCCCATCGGTGCATTCAGATGTCTGAAGGGCAAGAATAAGTCTAGATTAGGATTATCAACTAGTATAAAACTTCTGTTTATGATTTCCTGCTAATTTCCTTCAACCATCTAACTTCAACCATGTTTATGAAAACGACCCATTTGGATATCACAAAAAAAATATTTATTAACAACTGAAAAACTTTGCGCGAACTATTTTACACAGCTGTTATGTCAGTACTCTTGGTGGATGTCTGTAGGAAAGTGGGATTAATTTAAATCGTGTAATAAACAAACTTTCGAAGTAGACTTTTAAAAAATCGCAACAGAATACTTCATTATTAGGCTGTATGCGCTGATGTTTCATAATGAACGCGGAATTTAATAGCTGACATTTCGATGCTTTAGTTAAATTATAATTCAATGTGATTAATGATCAGGTATTTTGAATATAATCCACTGATACCTTTAATAATCCAACATATATGTCATACAATCATTATTCAGTTAGTGACGAATTATTATTATCGATCGAGAGAACTTAAATGTATAATTAAATTTACGTAACGTTGAGTAACGTAGGAAATTTAAGCACTCTGCATTATTTCACCGTACAATTTCTATTTGTTTCACAGACAGAAATAACTAGCTTCTCACGGTTATTATGAGTCAGTAACACAGTTTATCAGTTACAAAATAACAAAGATGCTCCGTTTCATTAATACTGGGAAAAGTTCACCATATAAACAATTAGAAGTAAGATTTGTGGTCTATTTTTGTAAACGTAAAACAGTGTAAACAATAAGTTCGACAATACAGAACAGAAAATTCCGAAATAGATCATTTTTATAATTTAAGAGTAATATATTTTCTATACTGCATCTACTGAAAACCAGAGATTACTGGTCCCAATATGGAAAACCTTCAGGAGTGTAGATCAATAGGCCTACTAAGGATCGAACCCAGGGCCCTTGGGTTATATTGAGAACTATTAGATCCAAGATCCCTGACCCAGTATCTAGTAGACAACTTTTTTGCTCCAATCGATCCGCAATGAGATAGCAATATAATCAATCTATAATATTCAATAACATTCGCAAACCTCCAACTGTAATTAATAACCATATGCCTACTAGCGACTAAATGCAAAAGACATTCCCTATATTTCTGATTGGAGATCGCAACCAGTGCGGAGGTCATCCATCAATGACATTGAAAGACGGTTGAGTAATACCACGAATTGATTAAAGTCAAACATGCTAGCCAATAAGTACCAGGCTAACGTTCTAGCGGTTAAGAGCCCTTCGTGAGACCTGAACGTCCTTTGTTCAATCTCCGACGGGGCATTAGACAGGCAATGCTGAGCAGTCTCATATTACGAGGAAATAAATGACCTGTACTTCATGGTTCACAATAGATTAGTACGTGATGTAGTCCACAAAATCCAACAATCTGCACAAGCACCTAAAGTAATCAGCAATATCTTTAGTTAAGTGATATAGTCCTAGTATAAATTTCAGTTATGAGCATGTCGTGCATAGAACTACTGAGAAATACGTACCAGGAAACTCAGTATCAGACGTCAAAGATGGATCACTGAACACTTTACACTTCACTTTATACTACTTATTATATTGACAGTAGTTAAAAATAATTGTCCATATAAGTAACGGAAATGAACTTACGTGTTGAGAATTTCTTCCGAAACTTGTATTCCTGTTTCCCCGAAGGATAACTGGGTTATTTGCTTCCTTACTCATACTAGTTTTCATAGTTTGAGTGTTATTTAGGCTCTCTGAGTTTAGAGAAAACTCATGTTTATGTTTTTGTGAACTGACAGATGAGGTAGGTATCGTTACTCGTCTACGTAATTCGCCAGATATGTTATTGTTCATTAGATTGGAGTTTGCGCTTGCTTTAATTGTAGAAACAGATGTGGATTTTGGCTAAACGGAAGAAACAAGCCATCGGAAAGTGAGATAATTTTAGGCACTGCTATTTATTAATATTACTTTTCTATTACTGAAAAGAGTTTCAATAAACTTAAAAGTTGTATACCACATTCTCGGGTTCGTTTGTCCACAACCTGTATTCACTTAATAAAAACGAAACACATATCCTGTATTTGGGTTTTTTCATATTATTTCTTTAGAATACCATTGTTTTAGCAGAACATAGCTAGACAGATCATGTTGGTGAATGCATTGGGAGAAACACACTGTCTTGCGAGCTACTAAATTACGTTTAGTTAAATTGGTCATTACCGAATTATTGTGTCAAAATCTTGGAGCCATTTTTTTAGTCAATAATCTTGGAAAGTTGGTTGTAGCTAAATAATATAGTTTCCCTTAGGAACCATCATCATTTGAAGAGAGAGTAAAAGCTGAAGGTTATGTATATGTAGCTTTGGATCTATGGGATTTTCATGAACATATCATTGGATGAATTGTAAATAGAAACAAATAAAAACAATCTAATGAATTAACTTTGATGTCACCATCAGTCTCGAGTATCGTTCAATGAGTTAAAGAGAAAATAATGTCAAATGACTACTAATTTCAATTGATTCATAACACTAATGAAGTTTCAGAATGCTCATACACAATATAAAAAATTTAAAATCACCTGATTAGATACACTGGATTGAGAAGTGTGCTCATTTCCGGATGTACTATTGCTGTGTAAATGTTTTATATGATTCACCGGTGATGAGATTAATACATTGTGATTAATATTTGTGCTACCTTGATTTTGCGAATTATATGAATCTGACAGAGATTTCGTCTCATTTAAATCAGAGCGACATTGATATTGATTTACTGTTTCAGTTGGTTTATATTGTTGGTTGGTATTACCTGATATAAAAATGTAGTCATGCAACATAAAACACTGAATAAAAGCAAATAAAGACAAGAAATACTAATAACTTCATTAAATTACAAAGAGTTATTGTTATTGGTTAGTTTGACACTGTAAATCCAGCTTAATTGAATTCTATGAGATTTTATCTACTTTATTTATTTATTCAGATAATGACTATGCAGTGTTTCCATTAATGATATCAGTTAAGATTTCATCGAGTTGATGTATAACTTCCTTATTTGTATTTTGATTAATTCAATTATTCCAAATGGTTCTACAGTACGTTTCAACCACAAAACATGTTAAAATATTCGTCCATTGGTTTATAATGGTTCTTAGTTAAAAATACAATAATCAAGGAAATATTACTTGACGCTAGTTTTGATTATTAATCAGTTTGATAACAGGTTTAATGGATATGTCTATTATATGACAACTTATAATAGCAACTTGCTGACCATTATATTGCGTTTAAAGTAGATCTAAAACATTGAACTGAAGGTTGACAACTCAGTAACTTCACCGTTAAAAGCAGAGTTACCTCCATTAGTATGTTTATAACCAAGTTACCATAACTGATAAGGGTACACTACCTTAGCGACTGCCAGTTCTTGACTTAGGTAATGATTCTGTACAAGCCCTTCAATGATAAAAAGTATTTTAAATACGACATAATATTTATTAAAGACTCCGTTCAAAGTCAGGTATCAATTAATCTGCATAAATTCCACCTTTAGATTAGATAAGTCTGTATAAGGAATCAGGAATATGGCTATATCTTCAGGTATGGTGAAAGCTGAACATTTGGTCAATACATTACGAACAAAGCTTGGAGCATTTGTGGTTTACATCGCTTTACTGTACTTGAGTTTCAAAAATTATTGGTCTTTGCAAATGCATATATTACTAAGAAAAAGGAATAGACTTAATCCACACCTCAATTGCAAAAAATTTATTTTTATTTCTTGTGCTGTTATTACATGAGATATTTATATAGTTGTATGCACCATTATGTAAAATGCTATGTCGACATCTTATATTCAGCTGATCGAACGAACCTCTTACTCTTAGGTTGTGGCTTTGGAAGTTCATTTCAGATTGATACACCAGTGCTACAACTTATGTTCTTCATATAAAGGTATTTGGCCAAACAATCTTTGAAATGTAGAAAGTTTTCAAACCACATAACATATAGTTTATTTGCTGTAAAAGTAATTTTAATAACCCACTGTTTAGTGAACAACTTGAGGAAAGTATTCGCTAGCATTTCTACCAGTTTTCATGCTAATAACGGCTTAGTATGTTTGAAATAGAACTGATGACGGTAAACTATAAATTTCAAAAGAAATTCATAATAAACAATTTCTGTACAATATTATACCCTTACAGTAAAGTTGATTGATAGGTAAAAGGCTCAGCTATAATATTTCTGACTGAGTAATCAAACAAATGAAATCCTTGTCTTGTAATTTCCAAGATTTACCATCAGGTTAACAGAGTGTCAATAGAGCTGGCCAAAAATTTACGAAGTTTAGATTTCAGCAACTCTTACTAAACTTAATATACCATTTAGAAGCACTTAACATAAATCAATTAAATTTAATGAAGTCCAGACAAGTTAGCTGGACAAAACGTTGGAATTATTTAAATTTCAATCGCTGAGATTATTTCAAATATAATTTTCACAAATATTGAGTTTCTGATCCCGTTTTTTTAAACAAAACTCACTTAGTTTGGGATCGTGCCAGTCAACTCTATTGATATGTTGATTCATCAGATCGATTTTGGATTTGTTTTCAGAAGTATTTTCATAATTCAATTCTTTCTTTGAAGCCTAACCAGACAGTGAAGAATATCAGATGATTTGAAAATTTACGAAGTATCATGTACAAAATAAAATATAACATGACATTAATGTTATTTTTATGATTTAAATGTTTTCCAACCTTGAGTAATTATTTATAGGGAATTTAAACTCAGTTTTCTGATTATTTTCATAAAACAGTTCAAGTTTATATAAACAAAATAAATGTGAGTTATTTTTTAAAGAACTATAATTACTATACAGGTCATTGACTATTCGTTTCTGCTAATCGTACCAGAAAATTTGCAAAGGTATTTTCCGGTGGGATCTGCATCAAGTGAATATGTTTTTCGTTGATTAGACCGAAAAATACCCATTGAAAATAAAAGAAAACTAAATAGCTGTTTTGTTTGGGATTGGACAGGCACTACTGATGAGTTAGAAATTATGTAACTAGAAAATATTTAGCAATTATAAGCTATTACCTGTTTGAAGTATTAGCGATCTGGTTCAAAGTTTATTAGGCTTTATTTATATAAATTTAAAAATAGATAATCTTTCTTTAAGTTCTCCGTCCCTTTATTAAAACTAAATGCTGATATTAATTGTCAGTATTTCTAACGGTCAAATCCAGTATTTAAGAGAACGCATTTATTACCGTCTTTAAGGATTATATAACATGCTCACAGTATTACTAACTAAACTTTTTCATGAGATCACTATGAAAAATGTGGAAACACTTGATAGCCGTTGCGTCCTAGTATGGGACTCCTCAACAGTGCTCATCCACGATCCCGTTCGCGGGATTCTGACCCAGGACCTTTCGTCTTGAGCTCGAACGCATAACCTCTAAACCACTGGACTGATTGTAAGAATAGAAAGGCAACTCGCTTGAGAAAACATTCGGAACCAAAAAACGAACGGACCAATGAATTTCCAGATGTTTCGTTTTCATTCAGTTCAACTGAGCGCAGCATTTTTCGCATTTTATGTTGAGCTTTCTTTTCTACTATAATCTACAGAAAATAGAATTGTATTTGAAAGATAAAATTGATTACTAATAAGTAGTAGAAATCTTATGATTTGCATACCACATGACCGATTTATCATCGTTCGGATTACTAAATTTTCTGATGAGCAATTTACCGAATTCATTCACTAGTTGGTGATGCCCAATAAGAATTACAGCTATTAGAAATGAAATCAGTAGAAATGTAAATAAGGATCAGAAGGTTGTAAATATAATGTTAATTCTGATTGTCTCAAGACACATTATTAGAGATTTCTTTCACGTCGTTTATAAATAACCAAATATTCTCAAATAAAATTGCATCGATAAACATTGATAGCATTTGTGATAATAAACGAGAAGAAAAATAACTTACTGTAAGAAAACAATTAAGGGAAGTCTAGATAATGCGATTTGATGCAATGTACTTAAGGTTTGAATAATTGACAAATTGTTGTTTTAGGTTTGGATGTAAAATAACGTTAACTGAGTGTATTAAATTCATTTCAAGTTGATTTACTTATGTCGTTTAGCCTTCAAGCACCACTGTAACAATATTTATAGCGGGAAGTATTTTTTATTTTCCACAACTAGATAACACTGAAATTTCATGCTTACTATAAAAACCTCTAAAGTATTGATTTGGACACAATTAGCCCAAGTTCTCGGTTTAAACAACCAAGTATACAGTTTTTTTCCTTCATTTGACACAATTTTAATAAGTGATTATTTTGTGACAATTACAGACGGAAATTTCAACAGAAAAGAGTTACCCATAAGTATTTCTGAGTACTGTAAAATATACGACAAATTTTTGATCCAATAAATTAAAAACACCATGTTTATTATTATTACAGAATAAAAATAAAGAATAATCGTTGTTTGAATTACCTCATATAATTTTTGACGATAATCTGATACGCTCAATTGTTTGTCATCTCTTAGAACTGGGGTAATTGGATGCTTCAATACGATTTCAGATGAAGGATCACGAAAGCTGTATGATGAAGTTGCACATTTATAAACATATGTATGGGGAGAGAGAGTATGAAACAAATACAATTGTTAAATGAACATTGAATCATCTAATTTGTGCATTTATATTTAATAATTTTTACTACTGGAAAACTACTTAAAATTAGGTGGTACTAAACAAATATTTTATCTTAGTTGGTTTTCATTATAGTCAAATGAAATAAATCAATCTAAACTTGGAGTCATTTCAAATTACATGGATGGATTTTTTAAAAAAAATAATCCATAGTCTGAAACATTTGGGGACTATATCACATAGATCTGAAACTTTCAAACCTATTAAAAAACAGAGATATAGTAAATTTTTAAAGAATATCAATTGGATGAAGTAGTCAAGAGAATTAACCAATGCCTGATATTTACTTTTCCACGTAAATATGATTTAATGCCTGTTCAACAGTGAAGCGTTTCTCTGGATTCAATTGAATCATATTTTCAAGTAAATTTAAAGCTTGTTCTTCTGTATTATTTGAAAATAACGTACGTAAGCGACGATATGGTCTATAAAAGAAAACAAAGCAAGCGAAAAATTGTAAACAAATAATAATAATAATAATCAATTTCCATTTATTGTGTATGTATTATGTATTATTACCACTCACAGTGTCCTTTAATGATGAGTTTAAAACTAATTGTTATAGATTTAAAAAATTAATGAAAGTTTATTTCACAGCATATAGCTGTCGGAAGTGGATAGGACATACAATACGGATAGCACCAAACTGCATCACGAGGAAAGCCATAACTTGGAATCCTGAGGGGAAGAGGAAAAGAGGAAGGCCAAAGAACACAATGCGACGGGAATCGGAAGCAGAGATGCATACATTTTCATTGTCAAATAATGACGAAAAAACTAGTAATTATGGAACATTTAAAATATCTTAGTATTACTGATGGTGCCGAAAGCTTCTCTTAAACATGTTTAACTTTTATCATCAATCCCTTGTCTTAAGAAACCTTTTGTTTTGCCCTTGTGTTACCAAATTTTCTTATAGCATAAATATCGTAATTTCGTTAATATACAGGTCTAATAATACTTCGCAAAGAGAATCAAGTTATTACAAACTATATGTCGGAAAGACAGTTCAATAGCATTTACACTCAATATCCAATAGAGAACAGCTAAAGTTAGAATAAACAGTTGATATCTGATTGATTACATTTTCAACAACTAATAAACACCTTTTATCAATGACTTTTAAGGCTATCGAGAAGCAATCTATAAAACCTGTAACTTTCCAAAGCGAATTACTTTAGATAGAAAAACAATTAGTCTGTTATATTTTTGCAGTAAATTTGTAGTTCATTGTTAAAAACATTTAACACCACTAAGTTATAACTTCAAGAACAACACCTTTTTGTCGACATTAACCATCTATTATTGTTCATCATTGTTGTCATCAATAACTTGGTACACAATCGTATTTTTGTGAAGATTCGTTTTTAAAAGCAATTCTTCGGGTTTTATGTGATGATGAAAAATCACACTCCATTGAGAGATATTTCAAGTACTTGAATTTATCAGCGGTGCATAAAAATGCTTTTGGCTTATAAAAAAATTACCTCAAAAAAGATGAGAAAAACATCTATATCCTGAGCTGCGAATATTTGTCAGAATATCATAATATAGTGACTTCTTGGAAAATTTCCGTTAAATTGAATAAATAAAGAATATAACTAGCTTACAATGATAGTTTATGGAAGAAAAATTATATCTTATTCAACATAGTGACACTATGCCATTATTAGCTTACTTCTGTAAAGCTTTATCCAACACTGATCTACCGTAGTCTGAATGAAGGCATTCAATGTCTGTAAAATAAAACAGTAGAAATAACTACTTACTTAACGTATCACATAAAAGCATAAACCAATTAAGTGTAATAATAATGGTCATATATTATAAAAAATGTAAGTCAACTACACGCAATATGGTTAAAAATATATCAGAACTACTTCTCTCTCCCTCCGATACTATGGATAACATTAATTGGAAAATACATTACGGGTTATCTGCTAAAATACACTAAATATCCCTTCAATTACAAACTAATCACTGATATATATCTCGATGTTTCATGAAGAAACTTGTTCATTTGAATTACCAGTGGAACATAGAACACACATTTTCTTTTGAAATTGTTCCGTTTGGAGTAGTTGCACATTCATAAATGTTGATTTTCTCAAATTCTATTATTTGTTGCAATAGGTGACGTACAGTTACTCATTGTTTTACTGAGATACTTCAATTACATCATTTGGATATAATTTTATCAGAACATGATATTTCAATTCGAGTTATAACTTGAATGTTGATAAATGAATTAAGTTAGCAACTTTTCGGTAAATAGTAACGTGCTCTCTCGTTTCTACTATTGGCCACCTTTTATTTAATCAAAATTAACCGATAATTGACAAGATTTACTCAGTTAGTCAGTCAGCTACAACATAGGACCAGGAAAATAAATACATCGGTTCAAGTTGTCATACCTCATTAGCACAACAAGATGAACACCATATTCATAGGAGCATTACTTCAATAGTAGTAAAAAAAATTTCATATAAGGATATGATACAGGTAGAAAGAATTAGTTCGTAGAAAGAAAGATATAAAGTAATTTTAATCTCATGGTTTAAGGGAGGGCTTATGAAGAAATGATGCTATTATAAAGAACTGGGAACATCTAACCACAATCTGAGAATTCATCGACTATGATTGTATCATGAACAGTTCATTGTAGAATTGCATACAAGAGATTAATGTATTACTGAAAGTCAACAATCTAATCGTAAAATTATATTATAGTTTTCATGGAAAGAATGTGAGTACCACTGTGGGTCGTACACAACAATATTGGTTACTACAATGTGATCCAAGAAAGTTTGCTAGATTAACATTTATTATTCACATAGCACTTTGTAACAGGTGGGATTCCACTAAGATTAAACACGAAGTTCACACCTCAGTTGTCGTTTGATGACCAAATGTTCAATCAAATCTGATCCAACAACGAGTAAGCTGTGAAATCAGTTTATTAAAAACTTCAGTAATTCATATCAACAGTAAAAAACCTTTAGTCGAGTGGTTTGTTTCAACTGGTTTTAGATATATAATATCAAATTAGGTAACTTGTTCTAGTCAATCGTTTAAGAACTAGCCATTAGTTCGAATTTTGAAGCCGATACAATTTATTCCAATCTTCAATAATATCTAAGTAAAGAAATTGACCACATTGCCTCTCACATTATGACTATTGATACAATTTATACAAGGGTTGTAAAAGATTATATAAACGTATTCAATGATCTTTACTTCAACAAGTTTTCGTCAGTTAGAACATTACTAACTGGATAGAAAGTGAATAATATGCCTTAAAATATCATGTTTTGAAATCGAAATTAAGATACAAAGTGTTAGTTAAAAGTATTGACAAAATTCTTGAAACAATAGGAGTGGAATTGTTAATGTTGGAATGACTAACATACAATGTTAACTTGAATAAGCTCATACGGTAAATGAAATTGTGGAATTAATGATTATCAAAATAAATATGGGTAACATAGGATGAGATAAATAATAATATAATTACAATTCAGATCCAATATTTGGTAGAAGACTATATAACGTATGAAGTTATATGAATTCAGTAAGAAATAATAAAGTGAGGCTAGAGCTAACTAAATTAATCATGTGTTCAAAAGATTGATAGGAATGTCGAACCAATAGTAAGGTATGTGAATAAAAAAATAAGACACTAGCACCGTTGTATACCAGCTCGGTCTGAAAGCGAAGCTTTACATTGTCCAGGGTCGTGGACGAACACTATTAATGAGTCCCCCATAAGGACAGAATGGCTGTCTATTGCTTCCAGGTTTCCAGTGGTGATCTAGTTTAGATCATTTCATAACTAAAACTATAAAGAGACAAAAGTAAGAAAGGCCTTACGTAAATTAGTCAAATTAGATCATTCTATAATTAATATTAGTTTTGATTCATTGGCCCTGATGTTGGCCAAGGTAAGGGAAGGGGCTAAAAATATATTTCATGTTCACGCATAGTTCTTGTTTTATAATTTAAATAGCTATCACTTCCACCGTTTGAAGTACTTTAATTCATATAGACATTGGCAAGAAATTACTAATAGGATAAATTATTGAGAATGAGTGACTTACGCTGGCACCATGACCAGTTTGCACTAAATGGGCTGATATTTAACCGTATACTGACTTCACTACACCTTTTCTTAGCCACACTTGGGAGTGTTCACGAATACAAAAACGTAAATTCCTGGAACTTCGGCCAAAATAAATTATCCACAGGGGTAGTCGAACTGATAAATACATTACGAGTTGGACATCCCAAGTAATTCATCTTTTAGCCTCAGTGTCTCCATTAGGAGTGTGAAAAAGATTAGTCGTATTTTTCCAGCTCTGAATGTTCCCTGGATAGCTCTATGAAATCTCTAGATTAGTGTTTCACTAGCTGCATTACCTCTGAACTGTAGGAGAACGAATAGAGATTTCTTATTTGGTGTTTGTTCCTCTCTTCTTCTAGCCTAGGCATATATTTATTGATAAAGTTCGCATGGTACCCATTTTGTCTAAGGGCGTTTAGTTTTTATCCAACTATATCCGTATAACATATAGTATGTATTCTATAACTGTGAGTTTTTATCAGGTTTGTTCTGTGTAATAGAGATACGGGGCCAATGATACATGTGTGATGCCTCGTTCAGGTACTTTACATGTCTAAATTCCTTTTTATTAACCCATCAACACTCTCCTCTAATAGAAAATCCACAAAGGTTATCCTACCTTCACTTTCTTCTTCAGATGTAAACTTAATAGGTAGGTGTACTCCACTAAATTGCTTCAAAACCTCAAGTTGTAATGTTCTTTCAGTGAAGATGATGAAAGTATCATAAATACATCGACAGTATTATTATTCCTTACTGAATTCATATAACTTCATACGTTGTATAGTCTTCTACCAAATATTGGATCTGAATTGTAATTATATTATTATTTATCTCATCCTATGTTACCCATATTTATTTTGATAATCATTAATTCCACAATTTCATTTACCGTATAAGCTTATACATGTTATCAGTGCATATCAGTCATTTGAACATTAAAATTTTGTTCCATTTTAAAAAAGAATCTTAAATTCACATGTTATGATTGTAAACAATGTATTTGTGTTAAACGTAGTTACTTTGGAGATCATTAGAAGAAAATTCATTAAAAAAAGAATGTTCTTCGTTCATATATCAGTGTTTTAATGTGATGGGTAATTTTAAACAGCTAGCAATGTGATTTCCAAAAAGCTTGTGAGAATGAGAAAACAATTGACAATCTGGTTTTTATGGATCATATTTGTCACAGATTAACCTCGGTTCAGTAAAAACGATGGAATACTAGCCAGGAGTTTTTTTTCTAGAATGGTACCACTCATCATTGAGTAACCATCTTTAAAGTTAAAATTCGATAGCATTAGTTAGTAATCCAGTGTCCTAATAGTCAAGCTGTCAGCTGGTAGGACAAAAAACCCAGTCCAATCTACCCTGGTTATCAGTGGTACCCGACTAAGTTGTCTCTGTGATGAGACTCATCCACATATTGAACTAATCTCAACCAAAACTCATCAACGATTTTATTCTTAATTCATTTCAATCTGACTAAAATATACAAACAAATTAATCGACATAACTGACTGAAACTAAAGTTTGTTACCATATTGTTAAGGGTTAGGTATTTTTCTTTTAGGCTAAAAATGAGCGATAAGTGATCACATTACTTATATAAATTTAGAACATTTGTAAAGCGTAACAACGCCTTTATCCTAACTTTAATGTTCTGAATTTTCGTGATAAAATGTCTTTCTTTCATTGTTATAATTTCCATAAATTTAAGTTGTAATGATTCTGTGTCTTTTATTTACTATTTTATGAGTGGTTGTAATAATAATTCTCAACGTTATTAAATCATTTTCATAAGACAGGATTCTATTTCCATGAATTATATCGAAAGCACCAACGACATAGTCTTATTTTTTATCCTTTCCAAGTATCCGTTTGACTATAGAAGTTTTTGAAGTGTAGTTTGCATACCATGGAACCACTGAATCTGTGTTACTGAAGTTGGGTGTAGAATACTAAATAGAAATAACATGTCAACGAATGAGGATGTAATTTTTTTCGGCTCAGATATTGTAAACTCACTGTACTGTGCCGACTAACATAAAATAGTTTGAGGAAAAAGTAGGAGTGACTAAATTAAATCAAACTGTCATTCTATAGACTCATTTATTTGATGACAGATTCGTGTAATGACTTGATCCATAATCCGTAGCAGTGGATCAGATTCATTTATCTATCATTTTCCACTAGCTGTTAAGCTTAGAATCAGGCTTAGGATGCCATTGATATTATTATTTCAACTATATAGTTTCTCACCTTGTTCAACCCCACTCTCATTCTGGTGATACTGAGCTCAAGAATACGGGGAAATAAACATATATCCTAGGTTATAAGAATGAAATGACTTTTTTTGATAATGATAATGGTTTTTATGTTTAATCTAGACATCTTTCTGCAATTCATGAAGGAAAGGAAATCAACAAGGACTCAAGCTTTTCCGGATAAACTAGAAGGATATATATATATATATATATATATATATATATATATATATATATATATATATATATATATATATATATATATATATATATATAGAAATGAACACGTTAGAATTTAGACACTTAATCATCTGGTATTTAGATACTGATAGACATAAAGTAGTGAGTTGTATAATTCTTTTTTTCTAAGAAGTCGGAGAGCATCTCTTCAATAACATATTGAGTCACTTACCTTCACAGAAACATTCGAGGGTTGAACACTGTTTGTTTCATTTTTTGTCTATAATGCATTTTCGGTATTTCAATTCAGTTGTCTTTAGGTTCATTTGAAACAAACCTTGAATTTTGTTTCTAGTGTTGGTGATTTTCTTCACTTACTTATTATGTTCATTTTTTGAGGGTTTGTCAATTAGAAGTATTCAAGATATTCGTAAATTCTAATCATTTGGCTATTAGATGTTTGGAAAAATATTTGATTTAAAAACAGATTTCATCGTAAACTTTGAGAGTTCAAGGATTTCATAGTTAATATCACGGGATGACCTTAGTTGAATAACCATTATTGTCCAAAATGGGTTGGATAGCTGTTTTGTTCTAATAAGGTACAACTAAGCTGTGTAACCGTGACCCCAATATCAGGGGTCAAACCCACGACATTCAGTTTCTCGTACGAGTGCTTAACCTCTTTATTGCCAAGCCAGCATCTCGTGAATTTTATATTTAGCTTCAGTTTAGCTATAATATCGTGGAACCATCTCTCAATGTACCTTGTGAGTACCTATCTCAGGATTGTTGGATTCCACAAGGCAATCGGTAGTCATCTAGTACTAATTTGGTACAGTAGGTATCCTTTATGAAACCAAACTTTAAAATGTATCATATTTAACGGTTGCTGATAATCTACTTTACTGGGAATTAGGGATCAACACATTTCTTCTTTGCGATACATCAATACTTTCATCTTGTAGTATTGGGATTTATGTGTCTCATCAGCCTGTATTTTACAAAAGAGACCGTATTTCATTCATCTTATATTTGATATTTAGTAAAGGAATTAGTACTCAGAATGAGTTTCTACATCTTGGAGCAAATATCTCTTACTTATTTCAAGGTGTGCTTTGAAATATTAAATGATTAGAAGTAGATTCACTGGTATTTGACACATGTAAATTATTATATAGAAAATTAACCAAAGAATTGATTTTTCTATGAGAATAAAATAACATCCTTAATAAAAAAATCTTATCTAATTCCAACAGATTTCTGATCTCATAGGGACTCATTAAACCAGACTTTCATGCGTTTGACTAGAAAATTGAGAAATCCTTAGAATGAATAATATTCAGTGTTCAGACTCTAGGAGAGTATGTTACGTAGAATTACCGTATTCTGAAACAATAACTGGATACATTAACTGATGAAGACTATTAACAAACAACAAATAGGGTGACAGAAATTACAAACCGTAAGCCGAAATTCTTTATCTACACTCAAGGATTTAAGGCATATGATCACCCATTATCTATCACACTATGCAATTTAGACCGAGGTAAATGGAAACTGAGAATAGCCTGAGGATGGTCAAAGATAGACTGTTTCATTATTAAAAGTCGGTTTTGGTTTTCAAAAAACGGCAAGCCTTTTAGCTGTGATATAAGAGTTAGGGGGAACCATTGGGGGAAGTACTTTGATAAACTTGCATGAAAACCATAGAATCAGCACAGCTCCACTCCCGCTCTTTCTAGCTTCTAAAAAATCCTGTTTTAGATATATTTGTTTTTGCGTGGGATTTTGCTCGAGTTCTCCACTGTGTCGTTAAGATCTGGAACCATTCAAAACGATATATCGTTTAACACATCTATGCGACTGTCGATCCGCTATTAAAAGCGTCACTAGTGACGAGGGTTGTGTTTTTATAATTTCATATTGAACTACCAGAATATTTTATTCGAAATGCGTTTAAACTTTGATAGTCACAGTATGTTTCTCACAAACTGATATATAATTTGACGATGAACACAAATGGATAAAACGTTTTGATGAAAAGTTTTCTCTTATATAAATATCTGGATCATCTATTTTCTCTTATTAATTCATGACGTCCAATTGAAAAGTAGTCATTTTACATTCATATTAACTTAATCAAATTTTAGTTTGGAAAGCTGATTTTGAAAGACTAACCTTGTATTGTCGGTCTTTCCATAACCGATATGATTCTCTCAATTTGATTGATTGTTGATGTACCGGGAAATAATGCTTTACCAAGTAACATTTCACCTAATATGCACCCTAAGCTCCATATATCTACATATTTTGTATAACGATTTGAAGCTAGCAGAATTTCTGGTGCCCGATACCATCTCGTAGCTACATATTCGGTTAACACAGGATTGTCATACTCATCATCTCCATCTATAAATGATTCCATAGATGTTATACGATTTTCTAGAGTATTTGTCAATGAACGTGTCAAGCCAAAATCACATAGTTTCACAAAACAGTCTGAGTTTAACAGAACATTAGATGGCTATAAATGTAAACGAAAAAAAATAAATAAAATGAGCAGTATCAGAATAAATCTTATCACTGACTGATGTAACAGGATACCCATAGAGTACTGACTACTTGTTTTATCTTCAACTCAGAAAAATATCCACAAACTACTTGTCAAAATTTGATCAATGGAATATCCTCAGCAGATAGTGATCAGTCTATGTTAGAACGTTTCATTTTCTTACACATAATGATAAAATATATGATGAATAATTTGTTTTTGGAAATTATTTAGTCAATAAAATTTGTTCTAAAATGTTTACAACTTGAGTACTTCATTGTGATATCTTAATTTATTTTTAGTTATTTAAATAAAAATAGAATAAAATGGTATATTCGAAAAGTCCCACTAGGAAAAGAAGTGAGAAACTGATATCATATGTCAATAGTTCAGGTTTAGACATTCGTTTACAAATAAAACAGAAAGTCGTTTTTATCGTGGAAACAAGAAAATTGTACCAGAAAGCAAGAATCAGGTAAGAATAGAAAATTTAATATACATAATTCAGAATTAGATGCAAAATAAATTCACTATTATCCACAGCATCACTAATCAGTCAAATGAGGTTGAGGATCACTGAAATCATCACTAGTGTAGGTTTACACAAAATTAAATAATGGAATCCTACTACTGATCGTTCTTTTAGTTTTTATTCATCTCATAATTTTCCTTTAGAATAGTCAAATTTATGATAGACTAGACGTAAAATTATGACAGCTAAAACTCAGATACAAACAGGTTTCTGTAACTTAAAATCAATTTAAATAAATTAAACCTCGCTGATCTAAAAATTTAGACGATAATTATGACGATGGTACACTATGAAAACTGAATGTCCATAAAATCTAGTCTGAAAGCTAAGATATAATTAAATCAAATGGACGAGCAGTTTTAGGGAAAGAGATATATCTTCCCACTCTGATGAACAAACTGGAATTTATAATTCTGTTTAGTATTTGAAAATCTTTAACATAATATAACCACAACATAACTCATACGCCGCAGTTGCGAGCAACTCTTTCTAAAAGAACTTATAAGTGAAATTATATAGTTATATTAATGAGTATAAGTAGACATTTTATTTTGCGACAAGAAATAGTATTAAAATAGTCATAAAGAGTTAAGTATTAGATGATCGAAAAAACTCTAGATAATAAGTAGTTCTGTATCATAAACTGATTTTGTTAAATAATCTTAATTAATAGATTGAGTTTCATACCCCAGATTTAGAAGTAACCTCTTCGGGGGCAATAAACATATCTTACGAAAGAGTAAGAGAAAATAGATGAATACTTTCCCGATAATAATTTAATTTTCATTTATAGTTTCCCGAATAAGACTGATTTATAATGGGAACCATTTTTGACAATTCGCAAAATTTCCCGGTTGTTATATATTTGTTTTACTTATTACACAAAATATCAAGGCAAAGGTATGTTACAGATTTCAATTCTACGTCCCCTTTTTTAATTTTAACAGGCCTCACAATTTATCTGGCTAAAAGAGGTGTAAGGAGATTAGACCTCTTAAATCATTTCCTATCTATACTCTCTTTATTAATCATGAATTACGTCGTCGGACCAAAATTTCATCTGGTATTACAAATAATGTACCTTCCACTTGAAGTACAGTTGGTGGATTATTAAATCCTTATTTTATTTGCAAACCAGATAATCTGTCCTATGTCACATCTGTTTTACACTAAATGCCACAAAAATATCAACTATTAAAAAGTACTGATAGTAACTATCTGGGAAGTCCTACTTTTTCTCTTTAAATGTGGTTCAAGCTGTGTACCTAATATCATGCTGAAAATCTTCTGCGCTAAAAAGTGGCAGAAAAAAGCTAAACCAAGGAAATGACAATAGATGAGTGAAGATATTGATTACCAACTGAGATATACAACTGATTGAGTCAAGTTAAAGGAATAAGTCAAAAATCAGAATCCAGTGTTTAGGATAACATGATGTTTAAACTTCATAATCAATAAATTTAAATTTTTGTATTACGCTCTGCATCGTGTCCCTTCTTTCTCAATCACGTACTTCAGTTATCTCACGGGTTCCATTCAGAAGCCTGATTAAGAGAAATGACTTGAATTAGTACAGTTACTCCTATCTGATTTCCCGAACGTATTCCTACGCTAGAATGTCACCCAACCTTACAAATTCACATTTTTCCTATAGCATGCTTGGACACTTAAATTTATGGGTATGCGAATCCGGCTACAGCTTTATAGCTCATTCTACCTAATTTGGAAGAGAAACTAGAATATCATGATCACATTTTACATGTTCAGACTATTATGATGGTTATTTAACTCAGCCCGTAGCCCTCCTACAGTTAATGCATACTTACTCAAACATATACAAACTTTAGTTTTTCACAGTGAATATATAAACATAAATAAAATAATGGAAATAATAGAATCTTTAGCAAGGTCATACAAAAAATTATACACAGTGATAAACAATGGAATGTAATATAAGTAAATATAATAAGGAGTGAGAAACAAAAAAAGATTGCTATTAAAACGATTTATCAATAAAGCTGGTAAAATAAAACTTCATACAAATAGAGGTATTAATATCATCACAGGGCAAATGAGTAAAATGGTACTCTTAAACCAGTTCTAGGACTATTATAGCACCATAAAAACAACACGACAAAAAGATATCACACGGCTGTTTAGCTCTAGTTTCAAGCTACTCATAATTAAAGATTTCTGACTCTGTGATCTCACGACGACGAATTCGTTATTAAAAGTGTGACAAGTTTTGAAAAGTACATTTTTAAAATGAAATATTTGCACATTCCTTACTAATTTTTCGTCAATTTACTATGAATACAAGTTTATGGCTAAGGTTATTGGTTTTGTCATTAAAAATTCAAATGATCCCATTTCTTACCTTGGCGAATGCTTGATTACGTTCTATATCTTGTTGAATACATGTTTTATTCATCATATGGGGTCTACCATGATGCCATAAATGACTAAACCACCAAAATGTATGGCGATTTTCTGGCGGAAAAAAAAGCAGCCACATTTAAAATACAGAGTAATCGCATTGTTGCTATGTCAATGATCTTAAAGTTTGGTCTCTTCAAGATGAACGTTTTATTTTTAATCTAGATGATTAAAGTTCATGCACTTTTTCGAAAAATAAATAAATCTTGAAGAATGAAAGATCTCAACGTGAAAAGAAAATGCAAAAGTAGTCGATTTTTAGTAAAAATCAAGTTAAATTCTGAAAAAAAGATTTTTAAAACTTTTTGAGAGATGAACGTGAACAATAACTGATCCGCTATTAAAATATGATAGAAGTTAACAGGATGAAAAAATTGTAAACATTTTTTATTTTGAAAATAGTGATATCACGGAATTATTTCATTTAGACTACCATTAAAAAACCCCGCCTGTAGTTTTTATAGGGTACTACCGGTCCCAAGCCCGAGTAAAAAAGGAGGGTTGGGTATGGGGTCAGCCACCCCACTCCATAGAAAACAACGTTACTAAAAATCTCTAACCAGAAAAAATAATTCAAACCATTTGAACTCTATCCTGACAGTTGGAGAATCTTCGGTTGGAAGAATTATGACGTCTCATGGTAAAAGCCGAGATTCCTCTGAATTCACGAGACCGATATCTCTTCTAAAGACCCGAGCGACAATTAATATAAGTACATGGGATGTCCGTACAATGTTGGAGACCAGGAGGACCAATCAATTAGCCACGGAAATGAGGAGACACAACTTGGCGGTTCTCGGAATAAGTAAAACCCATTGGACCCATGCTGGATAGAAAAGATTAGCTTCGAGAGAAGTGTTGTTGTACTCTGGCCACCAAGAAGAAGGTGCTCCACACACGGAGTTGCTCTGATGCTGTTCAAAGAAGCACGTAAAGCACTCGTAGGATGGGAAGCTCATCATTCCAGGATCATCAAAGCACCCTTCAAAACAAACAAGGAGGGAATCACAGTGAATGTTATCCAATGTTATGCACCCACAAATGACAGCAACGACGACGATAAACATCAGTTTTACAAGGCTTCAGTCGATCATGGAGAAGTGATCAGGGTAGGATCTGATCATCCTGGTGGGAGATCTAAACGCCAAAGTCGAAATGGAAAACGCCGGATATGAAGATATCATGGGACGACATGGACTAGGAGAAAGGGACGAGAATAGTGAGATTTGCAAATATATGTCTGTTCAACAAAATGGTTATAGGCGGCACAATATTTCCCCCAAAAGACACACAAATCTGCATGGGTCTCACCGGATCACACTAAAGAGAATCGGATCGATTATATCTGTTTCCATAGAAGCAGAATTACAAACTTTTAGTACAGCCTTGCTACAATATACTGACAGACTCAACGGATTCAAGATAGCTCTTAACGACAGGCTCCAAGCCTTACGAGATCTAATCAAAGAAGAAACTACCATGGAGAACAACCGGAAGGCTTTATTGTGGCCATCAGATAAATCAAGTGGGCAAGCAGCAGAACTATGTAACACAACACACGAAACACTTAAGACACAGAGGTAACTTCTAAGATGCTTCACATTCTGTTCATAAAAATTTGGGAGAAAGAACAATTACCATCAGACTGGAACAAATGATAAATCATCAGGATACCAAAGAAAGGAGATCTTAGTAAGTGTGGAAACTACAGGGATATCACACTACTGTATGTACCATGAAAGGTTTTCATCAGTGTGTTGCCGAACTGGGTGAAAGATTTAGCAGACAAACAACTTTAAGATCAAGAAGCTGGATGCTGTGAGAATTGGCCGTGTACCGATTAAGTCGCAACACTACGGATAATTGTTGAAGTCATCACTATTCATCGACTCATTTGACTTTAAGAAAGTATTTACAGGATGGATATAAGAACCTTATTGAATCTCTTTCGACACTATGTCATACCTGTAAATATCGTCAACATTATACAGAGTTGATACGACAGACTACACTGCAAAGCGGTGCATGGAAGTCGGCTCACAGATCCATTCTAAGTGAAGACCGATGTCAGATAAGGATGTTTTCTTTCTCCCTTGCTCTTTATTCTGGTGGCCTACTGGAGTTCAAAAACCTTCACATCTCAGGCAAAGCACTAAACACAGTAGACAACTTGGATGCCGTTAGACGATCCGGACTTCGCAGATGACCTAAATCTCCTGTCCCATACACAGAAAAATGCAGGTGAACACAGCCAAGGTAGTATCTTCCTTTACAGCAGTAGGCCTTAACATACACAAGGGAAAATGCAAGACTCCGAAGTATAACACAGAGTGAGCAAAAATGTAAATATGCAGATTTTTTTATAAATTTCTCTCTAAGGTAAACAAACTTCCCTTTTTTAAATTTGGAAAGATATTAGAAAGAAAATGTCAAATATTCGTCGATTCCATCAGTCCAAAATACTTTACAAAATATTTTTTACTATTAATTTGTACTTATACATATTTCCGTATATCAATAATATTATTGCCGTGGGAGGGCATTGAAGGTTTTAAAGAATAAATAAATAAATAACTTTTAACGTATGAAGAATACACCATTTCATGTGATGTTCAATGTGAAGAATAACTGGGTCAGTAAAAGGAATGTTGGGCAATAAAATTGAAATAAAAAATTGGCTTTTGGGTGTGTTCACTTGTTAAAAGGGCATACTTACTCAAACATATACAAACTTTAGTTTTTCACAGTGAATATATAAACATAAATAAAATAATGGAAATAATAGAATCTTTAGCAAGGTCATACAAAAAATTATACACAGTGATAAACAATGGAATGTAATATAAGTAAATATAATAAGGAGTGAGAAACAAAAAAAGATTGCTATTAAAACGATTTATCAATAAAGCTGGTAAAATAAAACTTCATACAAATAGAGGTATTAATATCATCACAGGGCAATTAAAACCAACAAACAGAAAGTGGTAAATAAAACAAATAAGCAGAGAAAACGAGCAAACAGCGTTGGAGTAGTGAGATATATGTAAATTATAGAAAAAAGTTGAACCAGTAAGATTAGCTTGTCAAACAATTTATCCTTTTATTTTTTACGACCTAAATGTCTAATTATAAAGCCAACACGTAACACAGCCTACAAAGGCAATCATCGAAGCTAAAGGTGGGGTTGGCTCGAAGTTACATTCCTTGCGAACAACTCCAGCATTAGGAACCCCTACGAATTGAAGTAAGTGCACAGTTTAATCAAATAATTAAAGGAATAGGAGGTACTAATTAGATTAAAATAGTAAAAACAGTCAGTTATAGTCTCGTATCATTAATTATTTACTATCAGCTATTTGCTTCTTGGCTGTATTGTATGAAAACATATGGACTTTATTAGTACCTAATAATAACCATCATGCAGAAGCCCAAATAACAAGAAATAAAATCGCATTCATTGATGTAAGTGTGTTCAGTCTTTTGTAAACATTTTTCAAACTTAATTGGTTTTGTATTGCCTCTTTCTGCAATGACGCGGAGTGCAAAGGCTAACAACGGTCTGTTATAATGTAGGACATCACTTTCAATCTACAAATATCACACAGTAATATAAACAGAGCTAGTCAAAGCTTAATATGCGCGGAAACTGTTAACAACCAAATTCAGCATTTTTTCGATAGGGTTTTTATTGCGGGAAGTGTTTCAAATGATGCTGTTTAGAGGCATCTGCCTAAGTACCAGAACGTATAAGCAACAAGTTGATTTAATTAAATAAACAATTTTTTTCGATGTTTCATCAACATAAATTCAGAGGTTTATTTTTTCTTAAGCAGTCAGGATTCATCGTCAATCGATAATCAGATTTGCAAAGCATCTTCGCTGTTTTCAAATATTTTGCGCTAAATTAATGGCTCAATGTTCTAATTTAATGTGAGATAGTTGTATTATACTTTCAAGTGAATTTCATCTACACATTTAAACATATAAAAAAACGTATCCCACATGATTTTTGACCCATTCATTACAGTGTTTGGGAAATATTTATCAAAACGGGTTGCAAACAATTGTATTTTCTGAACTAAAAAGTTTATTCAAATTAAACATTGTTACAACTTTCGGTCTGAAATACAATCATTCCCAGATAAGATATAAGGTAGGTTATCTAAATATCATATAGTCAACGTTTACACCTCACTTGGCAACTATATATCTCAATGAGGTGCTCTGAGGCTTGTAATAAAGCATTGAAGTTTATCATTTATTGTCAAGTCGCACAACCTGACTGAGCTAAAAGCTTTTGCATAGGCGGTTTATTTTCCTTAATTAGACAAAGATATGTTCAAGCGACTTGCTTTAAGGTTTATATTAGAGACACAAACTACTACCTAATCAGTCGAGGTTTTGTTTTAACTATTTTTGAGAGAATAAAAGTTAATTTGTAGAAATTAATCATCACCAGTGCTTTGTGTGAAAGGACTGGTGGAAACAAGTAGTTCTGGCCTAACCTCCCAAACAGGAACTATTATCGGTGTTTTTAAACATTCGGGCAGAACTATTTCAAATCTAAATTTCAGGTAACTTCAAGCATAGAGTAAAGACTATACCATAGAATGCCTGGCCCACAGTATTTAGGTCCTTTTTGATTGCAAACGATTTTAAGCCATGTTATTCATGGTCTCCATCATCTCGCGGATCCCAACCAACATGGCTCATTTCAGTCAATAAACATGACTGACTTGCTAAGAAATACTGGGCCATTTATTCAAAAACGACAACCAAGAGTTACAGTTTTCTCAGTCAATATTTCTGACATATGAAACAAAGTCACTTGGCATATAAACTGTGAGTTTATGTTTCAAATATAAGAGGGACTTGCTGAAAAAAGGAGACAAAATAAAATATTGTTTTCTTTTATTTTTCACTGGTCGCATTCTGTCCTTTAGCTGTGAAATAAAAAACTGCATTCTAATATTCCGTGTATTAACTAGTGACTTTTGAAGAAATTATATCACATTTCTCCGTTACACCTGTCTTAAAATATTTATTTGAAAATTTGATCTCAACATTTTAACAACTCCTACAAAGTTAGTTTGGATTTGTAATAACACAGGACTACAAGTCACATAGTTTTTTAACAGAAATATATAATTAACAGTCTCCGTACAAATTTGAGAAGCAAAAGTGTGTTTCAGTAGTAGATAAGAGTATCAGAAACTGTATAAGACACGTAAACTACTAAGAAGGAAAAAGAAAAAAGGCATTTTATTTAGTGGGATCAAAAGGTCCGATTTGAAAAATGAGACTAATGACAACTTTAGCAACTCAGTACACTTACTTTCAAAAAATAGTTGTTCAGTTGAAAAAACCATAATAAAGGACATCCGCATTAAAAATAAACATTCTAAATATGTCTATTTCACAGCACATTCAAATAACAACGATTCTTACTGTGTTAAAAGTGAAGTTCGATGAGAAATTATTATGTGTCATTAAATAAAATGGCAACAAAATCAGTGATGAATATTTATAAAAGACGGCTTCACAGATTAAAAATCATGAGAGTGTCTTACTTTTAAATCACGGTGTATTACATTCCCGGAATGAATATATTTAACTGCTCGTAACAACTGGTAAAAAATAAACCTTTTATGAACATCCTTCAGGATATTTCCCTTTTTGATGCAGTTGTTTAAGTCAGTTTCTGTTTTTCATCAAAAATAAAAGTTTGTATTACCCATGTATTCAAAAACCAAGTAAATATCTTTGTCGTTTTCCGCTTTTATAACATTTAAGAGACGGATGATGTTTGGGTGATTGGAAAATTGCTGTAGGAATGATATTTCTCGAAACGTCCTCTGAACGACTATTTAATATAATTCTACATACCTGAGCATCTGTTTGATTTCTGAAAGCATCAAATATCTTTTTGAGTGCCAATTTTTTATGTGTTTTCTTATTCACTGCTTTCCAAACTATCCCATAGGCCTATGGATAGTATAAAAATTGTATGCGACAAACCCCTTTTCCTATACGTCTCTCAATCGTGTAATTTTTTAAAATAACTGGTTCTACTTCCAGTTGCGTCATTTTTCCTGCATTTTGATAGTGCGGAAACTCAGTGTAGTCAATAGAAACAAGTTAAAACAATAGTATCATATGTTGTCACGACATTTCAGTTGTCATATTTTTGTCGAGTTTATGTTCTCCAGACTACTTGCTTCAGGCCTCGAGGCTAGTCATTTCAGAAACTGAACGAATACCTGTCGACAGAATACTTGCAAAATAGTAATTTGTTTCGTCTAATCCGTCTTAGTATTTACATAGTTAAAGAGTCAGGTGCAGGAATAAAACCTGCTAGGTAGTTTCGTGTGGACCTATTCCACTGGTAAAGTTGCTTTGGTTATTTATTTTACCATTGAGTGATCTGTTTCGTTTTCGTCTTTTCTTTTGCAATACATCAAACTATCGTTTTCAATTTTTCAAAATTCAGTGCCTTTTTAGCAAGTGAGTGTAAACATCTGGTTCCACTGTGCTAGCTTCACGTTGTTTCGGTACATGCTCGGGTGGTAGTCTATCCGCTCACACTGATCTTCAGGCATCTTGTGGTTAATGGTCCTAGGTTGTGATTTGTGAAGATAAATGGGAAGAGCTTTTACCACAAACGTAAGTCTTTTCTTTCACATGAGTCTAAATGTTTTGATGTGATGATTTCGCTAGTCGTTTTATTACACTGAGCACAACCCATTTTCCTTTTGTTATGAGGATCTTTCAAAACTCGAATGAATCCTCTAACATTTCCGTGTGTCTCTATATCCTCACATATTCAGAGCAGATTAGGGTCACTGAATTATTTTTACTAAGATAGTTATGAATGGAAATTTCGAAGAGAAGTGGTTTTTAAATGGTTTCGTGTGAAATGACCTGTTTCAAAACAATTCATCCTCCATTCACTCTATTTATCTTGATGCAAAACACTCGGTTTTCCAGAAAAACAACGAATGTAGGTAAGTGAAACTAGTCTTAGTAACTTTTGCTATAAAAGATGATTTCAGTAACGTGTCGAGAACTTTCTTGATGTTGAGGATTATTAGATAGACCGGTATCTTTGATCACAGTAGGTTGTCCAGCTGTCTCATTTTAGGTGGATGCTAAACGCTTGTTAGCTGATTTTTCTGGGTTCGTGTTGAACTTCACGAAGTTAATTGTCTGAGTCTGCGTATTCCTTCGTTTAGTTGTTGCACATGACCATCATAATGCGACCGGTCTGTTTCAAGTTGGGTCCTTCCTTTCTTCCCTTCTGAAGACAGAATCAAAAAACGTATGTGTCCATTAATTTGGAAGTTGCTGGAATTGTGGTTGGTGGCTAGATAGGTCAGATATTGGTATTATGACAGGCAACACTATGCGTATGGATACTTGTCACGCACTGATGATTATACTGAGCGCAAAAATATTGGTTTTCTCAGTGCTAACCCAAGAGACTGATGGATATTTCCTAGACCGTTATCTGGTGGCAGATTGAAAGCGTGTTTCATGCGTGTAAGTTTCTGATTTCATTGCATGGCCGAATTAGATTCAAAGACTTCTGTTTCTACTAGAGTGATAATTTCCTCACTGTAAAGCCACTAAAGTTAATAGGTCTGTTTGTTTATAAGCTTCCGTTTGGTAATGAAATCATGGATTGTGTTTTAGCTCCTAACTTGATCTGAAAATACCTCTTATCAGTTCATACTTTATACTGCTTCTGTTTCTCAGTGTTAAGTAGAGGGTCTTGTCAGAATTTTATAAAGAAACTTTTCACTTACCCTAGGCTCTTTTTTGTGCACAGAAGGTGTTCTGCGGCTCACTTCAGCCTGGTTGTTATCTGCTCGGACACGTTGTTATCTTGATACACAATATACTCCCTACATAAATTAAAGACGTTATTAATTCTCACTTCCAGTCATTGTTTCTTTCTAACAACAGTTTATTGGCTACCTTTGTATTCTTTGTCTACCACAGACGTTTTCACTATGGATTCCTGAAAATATCATACTGGTTATCTTCATTAGACGTTATACGCTCTGTAGATCTTCATCAATGCTTAAGATATTCTCTTTTAGCCATGTTGTCTTCAATATGTAACAAAGTTAGGTAGAATCCTCATCCTTCTGGAATATATTGTTTCTGAACATGTTAAAGACAGCTGTGCCGTGACTACTACTCTAAATTAGTATCCGGACATGGACATATGTAACCAGAAGCTGAACATTTGATAGGTGATCTGAGTTTGAAGATTTCCCCTTTTTCCCTCAATCACATGTCATCGTCTAAATGATGGTTGTGACGACCTGTTTTTAAACGAACATCCCACTCTGTGATATTCACAGACTCAGTATTGGATTTTTGTGCGATGAGTATCTGACCAAACCACAGGTGTGGTTAAGGTGATTACAGCTAGAGTACTTTTTCGAGTTGGGTGCAAATGTCTGTGTAAGAATGTTTTATTCCTATAGTCATTTAATTGATGCCTTTCGATACAAAACAAAATCAGCCAGACTTCGGCAAATACGTCGTTTCGGCAGTAACTTGTATTGTGATAGTGGATGTATATCACCATTTGACAACCTGTTTAATGTTCACCTTCACGTATGAATATTGTCATGCCTTTCATCTCCACCCCCATTATTCTCGAAACTGTAGCGTTATTGGTTCCTAACCATGCGATGATCGAAGCCGAACATATAATTACTGAGAAGATTGACATTCAAAATTTAACGCTTGGAGGAGGTCGGTAATGGTGAAGGTGGGAACTATGCTAGGAAGTCACTCGAAGGCCGACTACACAGATAGATGTAAGCACCTCTCTTTAGATCCTTTATGGCACCGTAGGCTAAAGAATAATTTAATATTTCTCTACAAAGCGATATATGGACTCTCATTTCTAACCTCCTGTCCAACTATGATTCACGACCCAGCCTATAGACTAAGAAACATCGCATATACACTACACACCGTAAAACACCAAAAACAAGTGCGTTGTAAGTTTTTTACAGTGCGGTATAGTTTATTGTGGAACAGGTTGCCTTTGCCTATCCGTAACTGTGACACATTTGCCAGATCCAAAAGGCTAATAACCCTGTTTCTAGACTCTAAAGAGCTTCAATCTTTCCTTGAACTCCCGTTCACCAATGAAGCACTTTATTATGGACCGCCTAATTTGTAAACCGAACAAGAATATAACGAGCTCGAATATTACTAATATGAATACAACTAAATTACAGGACATACGGTTTGCGGTTTCCTATTATTCATTGTGCATTAATCCAGGCCTAATGCTCCTAACCCTCACTTTCAGTTCCCAAATCCCTCTACTGGTTAAATATACATTTTTCTTCCTAAGTGTCATGTCTTTTTTTCTATTGCAAGTAGACAGATAACTCAGTAATCTTATGGATGCTGATCTACTATGGCTGATCATACGAAGCTCAAAATTGACCATAAAATCTTGTGAGTTGTTCAATGTTTTATTTTTCTTACCCTAAAAATTCTACAATTTTATACTCTTTCATATCATTTGATTTGCTACTAATCCTACTATCTTTAAACCACATATAATCTAACCTGTTTTTTCATCTTTCACCATTAGTTATCTTCATAGCAGTGTGATATACTAAATGGACATTTAACCCATAATACAAACGCTTTAACTATCTGATTTGCTTGTAACATGGAACTAGTAGAGACAGTGTATTCCAACCATGTGCTTTGATTAAAGCAGTATGCATAGTTACCACAAACGTAAGAGAGCCTAACATCACAAAGGGAGGGAGGGTGGCGTTACTGACCAGCAAACATGATGGCAGGGAGATAACTTCAATCCACCCATGTCTGTAGGACTGAACTTTTTGTTAAATTACGGCTCCTTATGGTCTAGTGGAATGTCACGAACTAGTGGTATTGATGATGATTTATCATGCAAAATACCTCATTAAATCGTGTTTAAAATGTTAAATTGCTTTCACTTCCTACCCAGTAATCCTATTACAAGCAAACTAGACAATCCGATAAAATAAAAATAAAAAAACGAAGCCTACTCCAGACCCTATAAAATCTTAAAAAGGCTCCAATAGCGTCGACAAAAAAAGAGACAACCATTTGTGTATCATAACACTGCTTTTAGCACTATATTTTATAACTACATATTCTCGTACTCTCAGTTTCTTTCTGAACCACCTTCATTTGTCAGTTGATCATCCAAGCTCCCAACTTTGGGGAAAACTTTACACATTTTGGGGAAGCCACCATAATAAACTTTGCAGAAATGGCACAAAAACCCCAAACTTCCCTCAAACGTTGGGATTTTTCCCCTAAATTTCCCCAAACCTTGGGCTTTTTCACCTACATTTCCCCAAACGTTTTGAGGTTTCCACAAACTTTACCTTTTTTTCCCCACACTTTGGGGTACCTCTACAGAACAGTTTTAACACAAAAGTTATACCGAAATCTGCGGATATCACGGAAAACCTAGCGTTAATACATACGTACATTTCTTACTGGGATATAACATTATTTTTCGTCAACTACATGTTGCCAAAGAAACTGAACGTCAATCGATTTATCGGTTTCATTAAAAGACCAATTTTTGAAATATTTAAATGTTTATTATAGTTAATAAAATTACACATTATTCATTTATACGACGTTTTTCATTGCTTCGTTCCTGTAACACGTTATGCAGAAGTTGAACTATCATTTGGTACGTTCTAAAAAAAATGATAAAAGACTTTTTAGTTTACAACAACATATGAAGATATGTGAAACGTCCATGACTTACAAACAGCATGACGATACTTTCAATAATCTGAACAAATAACTTACAGTTACGTCAGATAAAGCCTGTGAAGCCAGCTGAAAGCAAGAGGAATATGACAAAGGTTTTATCACTATAATCATTGATCACAAAGTAATAATCGAAGTGCAATGTGTATTATTGCTTTGGCTAACCTTTTCTTTGGATGGCCATCCGCGTTTATTAACTTTATCTCTTGCATCATGCAAGAAAGCCTGGCTTTCTGTACCCATGGCGTGTATCAGATCCTTTTCCA